GCGCAAGAAGTTTCTCTGGCGGCTTTTTTTCTCAAATTTGATGTGCGGGCTTACAAAAACTGTAGCAATTATTTCTGTTTCTGAAGTTGTTTCTTCCACTTTCAATAATAACTTTTCGAGACTTACTCAAGTAGCACTCAGCAGCTTATGCAGCTAGCAGATTCTTCTTGATTTTAGCCAAATATTCGATGAAATTGTGATATAATCATTGCCCAGACGGCACCCTTTTTGCTGGATATATTTGTAAAAATGTATTTCAAATAGAAGTTGGATCGGTCTGGTTTGTGTTTACGGCTAAGGGATGAAACACAGACTGCATCGAAAAAATATCACTCCACTGCATCTGAAAGATAAAGGCAGTTTGCACCATAAAATAATACCTTACACATGGCCTGCGTACAGTCCTGTTGGTTTATTATTCCTTCATGAAAATAAATTTCAGCGATGTGTACAATATTGTGTGAGGAGAGTTGTCTAGATGATCTGTGCAGAGCGGAAGAGCGGAACGCTGAAAAGGAAAAAAGTGCGCGAAAAAATGATGCAGCGCCTGAAACAGGTGCGATAATTTGAACAAAAATTTTTTACATCTTTGCATATGCCATAAACATTTTTTACATCTTTTTTATTTGTTTAGAATGGATGACGCACAGTTTCTAAGTAGTGCTGGTAACAAATTGGGCAGTTAAAAGTTTATTTTGGGGGAATTCTTGAAGTTTAAAATACCGTTTGAAGTTTTTGGCCATTACTACTGAGTTATAATACAGGTGATAAAGACTTATTTTCAAAAAATTTACCTTCTAAACTTTTGCCTTGCAAATTTTTAAACTTTGTAAATTTCTAAAATGTACCTTGTAAATTTCTAATTTAAAGTTAAAGAGAAAACGTAAGAAAAAATTATGGAATACATAAAAGGAATTATTAAGGTAAGAAATGTTTCGGTCCATTAATTCGTATACATTTCTTACCTTTACCACAGTTGGACCTCGTCAGTACGACGGTTGTGGTAAAAGATTTTTGTAAGGTACTTTATTGAGATAGAGACTGAATGAATTGGTTAATGTGCATGGAAAAGTAAAATGCAGAATAGAAATTAGAAGAAAAGTTGTAGGAGAAATAAAAGGAAAAGTTGAAGAAGTAATGAGGTGAGTATTGCATCAAGAAAAGCTAAGTGAGTTTAGGAAAGTGCGAAGAAATGAGAATGAAGGTTTGGGAAAGAGAAAAGTGCGTATAAAAGGTAAGTAATGCGGAGGTGGAGAGTTATAAATATAAATACAAATTAATAACAAATGTTAAACCTTGTGAATTTCTAAAAATTTAACTTGTAAATAAAAAACTTGCAAAAAAAAAAATAATTCCTTATTCAATAGTTGCGGTGAATTAGCACAGCAACATCGAAATTAGTAGTTTTGGTCAGTTAATTGATGTCTGCTTAGTTGAATGAAAAAGTAGTCAAAATTAACTGTCACCAATTGATTTTTTGCCTCATCGTAGCGCATTTCCAGTTACACAGCTAACAACTTGTCTTTTTTTGATGCCTTCGAAGCTGACCAGTGACAAACTGCGATGGTTATCCTTCTAGCGATGACCGCAACTTGTTATTGGTTCATTTTTATGCGCTTTTTGAAGCTTGCAATACAAAAGCGCTTATTGATGAGGGGTTGTCTGTGTGTGCGTCTGTCACGCAGTTTCATCTCAAGACCTATAAAAGCTGCAGGGCTGAAATTTCGGGAGCTTAATCTACATGCACGTGCCGGCCCCATCCCCCAAAATAGGCGCCATCACCCGCGTACGGGCCCGCCAAAGTTTTTTTCATAACTCGGGGATCTGAGCAGTTAGAACGCTGAAATCTTAGGGCGGTGTTCCCCATCCAAGTAGGTGTTAATGCACTGAAACCAATCTCTCGGGTAAGCGTGGTATCCGCATACGGGCTCGCCAAAATTTTTTTCGGGTAAGTTCATAACTCGGGGATCTGAGGAGCTAAACAACTCTGAAATCTTAGGGGGATGTTCCCTGTCCATGTGGGTGTTAACGAGTTCAAACCCTGTCCGGGGGTAAGCGTGGTGCCTATGTACGGGTACGTGTAAGTTTCTTTCGGGTAAGTTGCTATGAGAAGCGAGAAGACTGGAATTTTTAAGGGATGTTTCCTACAGTTCTGGCGGCCATTCTGAAATTGTTTTAGCTAGAAGCATCTGCCGGAAAAAACCAGTGTCATTAGCGACAAAAATCTGCGGGGAGTTACGCAAAAAACTCATCTTCGCACGGGCAGCCCGTGCATTGGCTAATTATTTGTTGTTCCAAAGAAAGGTGCAGAATTTACCGTGTTTTTTGCATTCTCAAAGTAACCTTCGACGTTCTTTGCAGCACTTAAAATCGAATGTCCTTCTTCTTAATGGCCAGGACAAAATTTGAGGAAAAATCGAATATTTCAAATAAAAATTATGATAAATTTTTTAGAGTATACGGTTTCGGTGATACGATCAGTGGTGAGTGCAATATGCGATAATTTATGTAGAAGCCATTGGTCATCCGAATTATCTGTGTGTTTAGCAGCAATGGACTGTCTCAATGCCTTCTCCACCATGCATCAGTCAATGCTTTTTCATAAAGGTTCGCTTATAATGCTTCATTTTTTCATAGTCTCTAAAAGCATTTTTCGTGAATTTTCCGTACGTTTTTATCTAGCTCACAGGCAATTCTTAGAAGCCTTCAGTAGCTTATCCATTCACTTTCGAGTGCTTCCGCCTCTCACTGATGAGATCACTAAGATCGCGTGAACGATCGGTGTATAGATTCCATGCTACTGATGGTACCCTCACTCTCGATGCAACGGTGCCAGGCCTTTTCGACCCTGAACAAGGGGTTTTTGTGTGAAGAAGGCAAAAATGAAGAATAATTTTGCTTGATTGCAGGTGATTTATCGACGGGTTTTTTGATTGTCACATCGCTGTGCCGTTTCATCAAT